AATCATTATAGCTTTTTTTCGGGAAAAAAATACTATTAGAAGTTTTTCTGCGGAATATTGTTCAGAAACGTGTTATAAACAAAATATCAAAAAATCAACTCGAGACTAGTTGGGAAACTTTGTTAAAACAATGGTCAAAATTATGGAAAAGTAGTTTTTCGACTGGCGTAAAAAAACTGTTATTCATAGAGAAAAAAAGGTTTATACAAAAAAGGTAGGTATTAAATAAATCTGTAAAATAAGACAAGTCCGATTAAATTCCGATAATTTGTTTATGCGCAAGAGCTCAAAAATGGTCGAAAATGTCCGCTTTTTTCAATTGCTAATAATTAATGCAATTTTCATCGCAGACATTTGTAATTCAGGATGTTTGAGGCTTTTTGCACCCTTAATAAGTGGTAAAAATGTCAGCCCAAAAGCTTCATTAGCTTGTTGTAGGCGGAATTTATTATCTAAGATGATGCTATTTTCCCAAGCTCACACGCGTTGTATGGTTTCGATCATTAGTTGTTTTTGTACCTAAATAGTTGTATTGACATATGCATTTACTGACAATTTAATTTTTCAAATTTAATTTGTTTAAAAATGACTGAAAAAAATGTTAATATTTATTACATTGTTAAGCACGCATGCTCCGCCTCGCTCTCCCCACTCGTTCGCTAGACCAAGTAATATAGAACGCATCGCCGCTATCTTCTTTTTCGCAATTAAATAGTTGAATTCACCTTAATGTTAATGTAGGACATGAAAATATAGCTCTTAATGTATACTATTTCCAAATTTCGGCTCTTAATAGGTAGGTATTAATAATTAAGGTCACTGCGATTAAACTGAAAAAAAAAAATATGTCGTCCGTAAACCATACCAAGCTCCATCTTTCCAGGGTATCAAAATTTCCTCCCATTTGTTTTGATCCTCGCTTCGAGTCTCAAAAGGTTTGTGGAAGTGAAACCTTGGAATCATCTCGTCGGATACCATCCCCAGAGTTGGTTCCGACATAGATGTTTCTATAATCCTGGAAAAGCGGCTACCTCTCCATTATTGTTCCTGAGTCGGTATGTTGCTAACCACATTCTTTCCAACATTATATGAAGCGGTGGT